TCTATGGATTAAATGTAACGAAAAACTTACGATTAATGGAAATTGTATGTTGAATTCGATAAACAAGATTAATCCGAAAGCTAGAGCAAAATCCGACTTTTAAATCCTTGTCCCATGATCCAAAAGATGGAAGAAAGAAAGAGAAACCTCTTTTGACGGAAAAGAACCGAACAATTTCAAACCTAGGTGCGATCGTTTTTTCATAATACACAAAATCGGCTATTATTAAACATAAGAGATCGCGCAGGTCGCGGCCGCGGTGAAGGAGAGCTCCGCGGCCGCGAGATCCTCCGAGGCCGCGAACATTCTTGCTCTGAACTCTGGGGCTAGGAACCGTTTGATCGCCGCGGCCGCGGTGAAGGGAAAGTCGCGGCCGCAGGAGGAGAAAAATCTTGGCGCGCCGAAAAAGAGCAGCAGCAGCAGCGTGGAGCAAGCACAGCGGCGTGAAGATGTTATCTGCGGCGGCGTGGGGAGTGGTTCTGCCGCGGCGCGGTGCCTCAACACGGCGCGGGAGGGAGCCTTGTGACTGCGCGGCGCTGCACTGCTTCACGGCGCGGCAGAGTTGTTCACAGCGTGGAGGAGAGTGGTGCGGCGTGGCCCTGCTGCGTGGCGCGGTGTGAGTGCTTGCAGCGGCATGGCGAGCTTGGGACATCGCGGTGTCTGTTGACGCGTGATGGATGGTAACGGCGAGGCACTTCTGCACGCACGGCGGGGGAGGAAGTCTGGTCACGGATGCGCTGTTGCACGACATGTAGGGATCTTCTGTCACGACGATGGAATATGAAGCTTTGTACGCACGTTACATGTGTCGCGCAGAGGTCTGAGAGCTCGGGCTTGACTTGCATTATTTTTCGTTTTGCGTTCGTTCGAGCTCGCTTGGAGACCTATTCCGAATCCGTTTTCTCGTGTGTAAAGCCAACGCATTCTACTAACGGCTCATCAAATAAATTTCTCTCCTCCAAATTGTCGTCGACTGAGGCATCTGATCTGCACACTACTAAAGATGAGAAAAACGCAGAAAACGAAGAAAAAAAATAACCGAAAAAACATAAAAAGACTCTAAATAGATGAAAACACACGACGAGAAACAAAACGGACCAAAACCGAAAGAAAAAACATAAAATGGGGAAAAAAAAGAAAAATAATCACGAAAAACGAAATAAAAATTGGACAAACATTTTATATGTCATGATATTTGTTTCATGTAAATTTTACATATTATTGTATATCAAATTTGTTTATTATGACATGCAGTTATGCAATTAGTAATATTAGTAATATGAACATAATATAAATTTAGAACTGGAATAAATTTATATTATAATAGTTTATACTTAATATTGTATGTTGTGAAATTGGGGATAGTACTTCACTGCTTTATTATTTGTTCCACATAGCATTTAAGAATATATATATTAATGCAATTCAATCTTTTTGAAATAGTTTGCATCTCCTTTATTAAGTTATCTCTTACTGATAAGTTAATACTTTGTTTAAACTATTTAAATCTATTTGTTTAAGTGTTATTTTTTAATTCAAGCTCGACCTTCCCAAAATTATGTTGTAAGTCGATTCGGCTCCTATGACTAAAATTTGCACCATTTATAATTTCCTAGTTGGGCCCAATCCCAAAGCGACTGGTAGAGTGACCTTCCCTATGGGTATGACCTCTCTTCTATTATACCCCAGTAACGACGTGCTAACCTTCTTTAAATCTACCTCCAAGTTCATCTGCTTGAAATAATATCCTAGAACATCACATTGAGCTCCCCGAGTCAATAAATATATGTTGAACCTCATATCCAACGACCTCTGCAGGGATCAACAGCGCATCGTGTGAGGTACATGAACTCAGTTGACATCCTCTGACCTAAAACTTGTGACGGACTCAGTGGCTGTGAGCCCGACCTTCTCCCTTTTTATTTTTGCAGCTCGAGCATGTTATTTTCTCACATTGTTGGAGTCATTGACGGTGGGTCCCCAAAAATCATATGGATCACCCCTCCACCTTCTTGGGAGGTGCTTCATATTCAACCTCAAGCTCTCTAGGTTGCTTCCATGTGTCTTCTCGCCTTTGACCTCTCCTCTCCCTGTCTTTATATATGAACTCTTTCCACTGAGCAGTTCTAATCAACCGTTCGATCTATTGCTTTAGGTATCTGCAATTGTCTATTATGTGGCCATATTCTTGATGGAAACGACAATACATGTGAGATTTAGGTTGAGTTGGGCCCTCTATCCTCGACCGGAGCCAAGTAATTTTGTCTCCATCCATCCTTTTCTCCATTGTCTCTAGTACCTCGGCTAGGTTCTACCTCAGCGGATTGTACTTGTCGTACCTGTGACCATCCCTAACACCCTTCCATATATCTTTTTTTTTTTTTTGGCTCACCAACCTCTATCTCTTCGGCAAATTTCCCTCTCTTTCTTTACCTCGAGTTAAGATGCACTCTCGATCTTGGAAAACTCGACCTCAACCTCCTCCATATTTATGCACTTATTAAACCTCTTCAGGACCTCATCGTAGTAAACATCAGCTTCTTAGTCATCGAGCTTCTACACGGACCAAATCACAACCCTCTTGTCAACCCCCTTGCCTTCACCTCTTCCGAAGCTGAAGGGACCTCCACACACATGTGAGTATATTGACCTACATAGGTCTAAATTGTCTCTTGCTTCTGTTGCATCGCCATCAACGTGAGGTAGGCCTTCTTCTGCAACCTGGCGCATGCGATCTGGTTGAGAAAATTGTTTGTGAAGTCCTCAAAATCCCTTACCAACCCTGAGGATAGCTTGTGAAATCTGTCGTAAGCTCTTCCACTCAACTGACTCTTGCGACCTTGATCCGCACTCGACTGTTCAATTGACCTGCAAAAAAGTGTCGAGAGTGGTTTCGATGTAGAGCCTCCGACGATCAAGTCAGAATGTCTACAAAAAAGACGATGAACAGTAATTGTACAAATTGTAAGTATTAGAGTGTCTAAATTGGACATACCTCACCTTTTTATATAGGGATGTTACCTTGTTGCCCAAGACTGCTCCAATGGATTGCCAGAGTGCTCGAACTGCCGGTTCGTACTACCCGGGTGCTAGAACTGCCTAATTTTGTTAGGCCTATGGTCCAATCCACATGTGGTTTTTATCTCAATTATATTTCTTCTTATTTGTAATATAGTGTTTCACATTAGTCTTTCTTGTTAGACTGTCTAATCATATGACCGACTCAACTTTCAAAGAGGTAGATTGCATCTACATTAAGCCTATACTCATACGCGATCTATAAACTTGTATACCTTCAGGTTGAGTTTCTATCAGGCCTCTGAAGGCCCTAGCTTGACTTGTCGGCGATCATTTTTACATGCGTTGTCACCGTCGACCTGATGCTCCTTTGACCTCTGGAATCTTCAATCTTCGACCGACCTACTTGTTCACCTAGTTCGGCTAAAAGACTTCTCAGGTCAAGTTGACCCGATTATGATATCCTATATCAGAATGCATATTTATTGAAAAATAGCATTTAAGTAATTTTGAAAAATTCTCAAAATTTCAAAAAAATTGTGGGCGGAAATTGCCAAATAAATAAAAAAAATTACAAGTTTAGCAGTAACTTTAAAAATTTTAGGCTGAAATTTTGTTCCTATTAGAAAGTAAATAATTCTCATTATAAATATTAAATTATCGGTTTTGCTATGAAGCCAACAGTTGGCTCCACAGTGGAGTCAACCTTCTATATACAATAAATAAATTTAGCCATATTAATAAAATTATATTATTGTTATTTAAGTAATCAGAGAATATTATAAGTATAGTTGTTGTATATAGAAGATTGACTCTATTTCGTAACTTTTGTGTGTCTAGGAGGATAACAAA